TCACCATGCCAACCCAATGGGAGTAGGTCACGCATGCGATGGCTGCTGTCCATTTTGGCACTTGCTGCGCTGAATAGAAGTCCTGCCAGGTGTGCCAGCCTTTTATGAGACGCTTACCAGACCGTCTATAAACATTTCTGGTTGGGGACTTGGTTGATTCTGGCTGTGATCGTCGTCCTGACTGCGACGTTAAATAATTCCTGAAGAGATGGGGGCGCTCTCAATATTCCTCCTGATCAGCCAGATCAACCGGGTGTAAGGCTCGTTCCGTACGAGGGTAAAGAAGAGTGGACTGGCTGGCTTGCTCGGCAATGACTTGGGCGCAGGGGTGGGCCGAAACACACACGAAGACACTGCTCGCTCAATGATGCTGTTCGGTATGTTGGATTGAGGGGAGGGTAGGTTCTTCAATTGGATACACAAACATACCCACTCATCATACATCTGCAACATGGTCTTTTATATTCTTGATTAGTTGGTGGACGGACTGCTAACCAATCAGCATACATCCAGGCTATGTTGACAATTTGTTGTGAATGTTGTAGACATGCCACTTGATCGGTACAGTAGGGGACCTGCCGGACAAAACTATTTTTAGAAAATTAGGTGTCGGTCAGACACATGCTGTGCTAGGATTCCACTAGGGGATTCTAGTGCAGATACTGTCTGCCTAACTGATGAGTGGATCAGACCCCGTTGAGGATAGAGTTGACAATAGGAGACTAACACGTGCGGAAGCACTTAGGGTCCCGCATGTGTTCAAGGCCCTACAACCGGGAGACGAAAGACGGCTTATAGCCGAACGTAGAGCCCGTGCACTAGCAGCAGCTAGGGCAACAGCAAACGCCGCAGCTAGGGAACAGGCTGCCGCAGCAGCCATGACTAGCTCAACAGCATCCTCTACGGCTTTGTCTGGGACAAATGGGACTCAGTTGGGAATGCCAACAAGTTCCACGGGCACTTCCAGTTCAATGGGTTCTCGACAGTCTACAAGTCAAATGGCGGGCTCACAGTTCAGCCCATTGACCCCACGTGAGAGGGAGCTCAGAGAGATCCAACAGGTCGAGAGGATCCGTGAACAGTTAGAGAGGAAGAAAGCAACCGATAGAGAAAGAGAGATGAAAAATAGAGCAGCCAGGTTTGATACTTTAGAGGCTGACAAGGCTGAGTTAGAGGGCTTGGATGAGTCAGTATTGTCTGACCAAATGTAAACACTGAAGAAGAATATGTTGTCGTTGCATGCGCACCTGGACAGCAGATTGGACTTCATGCAGAGCAATCTTGACCAGATCCTGGACGTTCTGACAAGACCAGGATTTAGGCCACCACCACAGTCGCCGTTGCCGTTATCGACGATGTCAGGCCCCTTTCCCGTACAAGCTGGCACACAGCCAAGTAGTACGTCTGCAGCAGCCGCACAGACAATTGCATCTTCTTCTTAGGGTCTAGCGGTGGGAGCTACACCACCGCAACAACCTGTTCCTCAACAGGGACAGCCGCAGGGTCAATGGTATCCTAAGACCCCAATGAAACCGCCTCTTGCCTTCTCATGCGAGAGAAAGGACGAAGAACTCAACACTTGGTTGAGAACAGTCCCGGTTTGGGTGAAGGCCAAGAGGACCTTGCTGGAGGACGAAGTGGTTACTGTTGCATCTTACCTCGAGGGTAAGGCAGCCAAGTGGCTAGATGGTGTAGTTGTAAAGGCCGGGTACGGACGACGCATGGCGGACTGGGCTAAGTCTCTTACGTTAGACCAGTTCATGGAGATGGTAGAAGCTCGATGGCATAATCCACAGGAGGCACAAAAAGCCACTGATGCGATTAACATACTAGACCAACGAAAGTTCAAGTCGGTCAGAGAGCTTACGACTACCGTTGAGAGCCCGATCCTCGTTCCTAGCATCAACTACAGTGACCAGTTCCTGTTGACTACGTTTGTTAGATGTCTTCCAGAGAACATCAGGAACTTGCTGGCCAGCGAGGCACGCATCGAGTACCATTCGTTTGAGACGTTGTCCAGGAAAACCTTAGATTTGGAGGCCACTCTAGGCAATGCTCAACCCTCTCAGAATGACACGAAGAAGAAGAAGAGTCCTCAGGAGTGGAAGAAGAAGGGGGCTAAGTTGATGATGGTTGAGTCTGATGGGACTCAAACGGAGATCAACGAGCTCACTGACCTGATGGACTATTCAGAGTACGACGGCGAGGAGACCGCTGAGGGTAGCACCCTCGCCGCAGTTGTAAAGGCTAAGGCAGGTGGCCGAGGGAAGGGCCAACCAAAAAGTCAAGGGAAGGCCGCCTCCAATCAGACCAAAATGGTTGATTGGGTCAAGGCAGGTCTTGATCAAGACGTGTGGCGTGAAAGCCGAGTACGTGGCTCTTGTATTAACTGCGGGGAATACGGACACTCGCAGTACAAGTGCCAGAACGCAAAGGTTACGCAAAAGATACCTCCAAAGATGGGGGCATCTTATTCCCATGCTTCTAGCTCGGGAAACGCGTGACGCCGGTGGAAGTTTTAGCTGCTTCTACTTAAGATGAAGTGGGCCTGATACCCTCCCCACTTCATGAGAAAGCCCAAGCTAATGACTCTTTAGTCACCCTGCAGACTCAAAGAATTCTTGATATTTATTATAGTATCAATCATAAATGAATATATAAATATAAATGAATATAAATATAAATGAATATATAAATATAAATGAATATATAAATATAAATGAATATATAAATTATGATCATAGAAATCGTTATTTTAGATATTTTAGATATATATTCTTATTATAGATTTATTATAGATATATTCTTATTAATATATTATAGTCTAGACCAAACTATGCTCTGTACGTTAGATGTGTCTGAAGCCTTAAAAGACTTGGAGAGTGAGTGGTCAAACAAGGACCCTCGAGAGTCTTGGGTGGCGCTAAGGAAAGGTCCTAGAGGGGAACATTTCGTGGTGGAAATCAATGTAGGAGGCCGCAAATGTGGTGCCTTCATAGACATAAGCTCCACGCGGAATTACATAAGTCGCGACTGTTTGGAAAGGCTGCACCTACATGACCGGGTACGGCACCTTAGTCTGTAGCATCTACTTTGGCCAACAAGGAGCGCATGATAGTAACAGACTATATCAAGGACGTAGTCTATACCTTCTCCTATGGAGGAGGCGAACTTAATCATAAGATTTTGTTCTTGGTTAGCGACGACTTACCATTCGACATGTTGTTAGGCATGTGCTACCTCGAAGTTGCCAAGCCCCAGTTCGACTGGGATAAGAAGGTGCTCAAGCATAAGTTGCCCGATGGCCGAACTGTCAGATTGACTAAGTTCAAGGCCAGTAGCATTATAGATACCTATGGCTGCTTGTGTGCATCAGCGTTCTACAATTACAATAAGCAAAACCAAGAGGAAGGTATGTACCTTGTGTATGTCTTTGAGAAAGGGGAGGCCGTTAAAACACCCCCAGAGATAGAACGCGTCGTTGCTAAGTTCCCTGATCTATTCGAAGAGCCCGCAGGAGTTGTTGAAAGGGAAGTTGTCCACGCTATAGAAATCATTCCAAGGAGTAAGACCCCAAAGGGAAGGATCTATAGGATGGCTCCCGCCGAGTTAGATGAACTTTGGCGACAGCTTAAGGAGCTGACAGAAAAGGGATGGTTTCGACCTAGTACTTCCCCTTACGGATCTCTCGTGCTATTCGTACCGAAGAAGGGGGGTACATTGAGGATGCGCATTGACTACAGAGGCCACAATGCCATCACTGTGAAGAACGCAGGGCCTCTACCTCACATAGACCACCTATTAGATAGGGTGAAGGGATGCAAATACTATAGCAAGATAGACTTGAAATCCGGCTGTCACCAGATCGCTATAAGGCCTGAGGATTAACACAAGACAACTTTTCAGACTCGTTATGGTCTGTATGAGTTTGTAGTGATGCCTTTTGGTCTTTGTAACGCGCCGGGAACATTTCAGCACGCTATGAATCGGATCATCCATGACCATTTAGATAAGTTTGTCGTGGTATACCTTGACGACATTCTGATCTTTAGTAAGTCTGCTGAGGAGCACGCAAAGCATTTTGAGACTGTACTCTCACTCCTGCGTCAGCAAACGTATAAGGTCAACTTAGAGAAGTGTGAATTTGGTCGCACTAAGGTTCTATACTTGGGTCATGAAGTATCCGCGGAGGGGATTAGGCCGGAAGATGCGAAGGTGGCTAGTATTCGAGACTGGCCACGACCTCAGACAGTCACTGAGGTCAGATCATTCTTAGGAATGTGCGGCTACTATAGGAACTCCGTAAAGAACTATTCTACAACCGCCTCTCCTTTGACTGATCTAACTCGACTTGACACACCGTGGGACTGGAGTGATGAGATCTGCCATCTGTAGACTGGGCGCCGAGCGCCAGATAGGATGTCAACATTGGTTCTTCGTTGATGATGATGATGAGACTATTCCAGCATTGTCAATTATGAGCTTTTGGTGTGTTCTTATTTGGTGAAACTCGTGATGCAATTCTGCTTTTGGTTCGAGGTCACGACTATCTGGTCTCGTGTGTATGATGCTGTTTGATTGCTGAAGTTCCCTATTGCTCATCTTCCTTGCAATTTGGTATCGGAGTTGTGGTTCGCTGTGCTAATCTGGCGCTTATCTTCTGCCTAATGCGGTACATGCACGTGGTGTGTACGGTGAGCTACCGTGCCGTGGGACGTGTGTAGTGAGGAGGGCAAAGATAAGTAGGCGACCCAGGTGGTGAGGGGTATCGCCAGGAAGGCTATGTGGTGTGATTATTGGGTGTTCGCAGTGTGATGAGAACTATCTGGTGTGTGATTGATGCTGAGGTGGAACGGTTGTGCAATGCTGGTTGTGTCGAAGCAGCGATTGGTCATCACAATCAACATCGGGTCATCTGGTGAGAATATCTGTGGTTGGGGGCAGCTATTTTGATTTACGTTGCACCTAACCTTATCTACCCTCTTCAACACTTCTTACCGTGAGGATGTGTTTTGTCTTGAGAGTCCTCTCATGTGAGGAGTCGTGTGCGCTCAACCTTGAGAGTCATCAGCCTTCATGTGGAGCATCAGGAAGGAGAGGGCGGTGCTATCTGAAGGGCCCTGGACGAAGCACTAGGTTACGGTCACGATGCCAACCCACCGGGAGTAGAGCACGCATGCTTTGCTGCTTTGTCCTTTGTCTGCTCGCTGCGCTGTAGAGGGGTTCCGACGAGCAGGCCAGCCCTATGGGACAGACGAGATCGGGCGTCTATAAGTAAGCACCGGCGGGATACCTTCCATTGGCTGTGATCCTCGTCCTGTTTGCGACGTTAAAGAATTCCTGAGGACTTCGGGGGCCGTTCATAAAAACGCCTCCTGATCAGCCAATCGGTCGGTGTAAGGCTCGCTGCACGCGAGGATAAATACGGTGCAGGGCTGGCCAGCTCAACAAGACTCGGGGCACAGGGGTGGGCCGTGTGCACACCTTCAGACACGCACGCTATCTGGATCGCTCAGGGACGTTCAAGAAGAATTGAGGGAGGGGTAGATTCCAGATGATAAGTTCGGGCAAGATCCCATTCTGCAAACAGACCCAACAAACGATTCTATTTTTTATTTTGATTAGTTAGATGTACAACCATTAACATCTGACATCTGACAGACAGCATTAGTTAGAACTGATTTTTGTTCCTTGTGCTTTCCGTTTGTGGACTAGTCAAAGTAAAATAGCTTTCGTTTGTAAGAATTTGAACTTACCTGTTGAACCCGAATGGATAGTCTCTGAGTCTCTGACACAACCACCAATTATTTATTTATTTATTCTAAATTGGTCTGTGCATTGTGCTGCGGTAGGCATTTAGAGTGTCCTAGTGCAGATTGTGTATAGTGTTGCTTATAGATTCCACAACCGGACGACCGGATATTGCGATCGGTGAGACGCCCGATTGCCCACTTGGCCTTAGGACCAGAGGGTGACAGATTTTTGTTCCGCCAGCTTAGGGAGAGGCAGCAGCAGAGGAGGCCAGCAGGGCGTTCGTAAGCGAAGCCGCAGCTTCAGCAGCCATGGCCACTGCTGCGCAGCAGAGTTCCCAGGCCAGCAGCTCACGATCTGTAGGGTCAATGGTCGCGCAGACCCAGAGTCAGTCAACTGGCTTAATGGCAAGCCAGCCGTTAGTGATGACTCCCGAGGAGGTCGCCATACAGGGAGCTGTTGATCGCGAGGCACAACTACAACAGGCTTTAGGAGAGATTAAGGCAGAAAAAGAAAGAATGCTTAGAAGAAGAGCCAGGATGCAGTGGAGGCAAGCGGACGTCAGCGAGTTAGAGGAGATGGACCCTGTAGAGTTGGAGAATGATGGGAGGACCATACGGAGATGAACCCTGCAGAGTTGGAGGATGATGTGAGGACCATACGGTCGTACAGATGCAAGATCACCAGATGGAGATCTTACAGGACATCCAGCAGAGTCTGGCTGTGTTAGTGGGGCGAGTGCAAGCGACACCATCAGCATCCGGGCCCGGTGTCAGGCCCGTTGTACATCCTCCTCCTTTTGTCCCACCAGTGTGTGGGGTATCCCCATATACATCCCCAACATCGGTTCAGTCCGTTTCCCTAGGTATGCCTTTGACAGGCGGGTTCTGAGCAGGTCCTAGTGTACAGATTCCTGTACAGACAGTGTTCTCCCAACCTCCATCTCAATTTGACGTAAGCGGGCAGCCTGCTGTCTCGCAGCCTGCACAGCCGCAGGGTTCGTGCAGCCACCTGCACCACAGGGTCCACAGTCCGGATTGATGTAGGGACTGTGAGACAAAGTCAGTGATTTCCAAAGACGGCCATCGCCGCTCCTAAACCCTTTACAGGGGATAAGAGGGGCGAAGACCTCGACACTTGGTTGAGGGCAGTCCCAGTCTATGTAAAGTGCAAACTTACCTTGCCACGTGAGGAAGTGCTTGTGGCTGCCTCCTATCTAGAAGGGAGTGCAGCACAATGGTTGAGTGGTTTAGTGCAGCTACAGGGGTACAGTCATGACTTTCGCGCTTGGGCGGTCACCCAGAAATTGGATGACTTCCTCAAGTTGGTGGAAGACAGGTCGCATGATCCTCAGGAAGCCCAAAAGGCTACTGATGCGATCCTGACACTGCATACTCGGCAGTTTAAGTCAGTAAGGGAGGCCACTGACGCTGTAGAGCGTCTGATCTGTGTCCCTAGGGTGCGCTATGACCCCCAGGTCTTACTCGCCTCCTACCTGAGATGCTTTCCCATGCCTCTCAAGAATCAGTTACCAGGTGAGGCCAACATCAATATGCACAACTTTCCCTTGTTTAGCAAGAAGGCCCTAGACCTCGAGGCAAAGATAGGGCATGGGCAGACACCCACGACGGATGGTAGGAGAAAGTCAGTGCCTCCCAACTGGAAGGGGAAGGGTCGCGTTATGTTTATCGATAACAATGGTTCAACCATCGAGTTAGATGACAACTTCCAGGAGGGAGTAGGTTCAGAGCCTAGCAGCGTAGAGGCTTCAAGGGGTGGAGTAGTCATTGTCGTAGCTAAAAAAGGAAAGGCGACCGGTAGACGCCGAGGAGGTGCCCGGTCAAGGAGTCAAGTTGACCCCAATGCTCCCCCATTGGAGAAAGCGGGTCTCACTGAGGACGTGTGGAGAGATTGGTACACGCGACAGGCTTGTATCCGTTGTGGCCAATACGTCCACAACCAGTTCAAGTGTCGAAATAAGAAGGTGACCGAAAAGATCCCGCCTACGATGGGGCAAGCGTTGGGATCCTCCGCTTCCGTTGGTAGCAATGTGGCCAGCAGTTATGACACTGCTCCAGGAAACGCGTCGGGCCAGTAGGAATGGTAGTTGTTCCTACTAGGGTCGAGGTGGTAGACACACCCTCACCATCTCGAGAGATGGCCCAAGCTACTGACTCCATCGCCGTCCCGCAAACACATTCTGACCCATCGAGCCTCTGTTCGATGAATGTGGTTGAATCCTTAGACGAGCTAGAGGAGGAGTGGTATAGATCAGACCCACTAGCTTCTTGGATGGCATTGGCTAAAGCCCCTAAGGGAGAGATGTTCGTCGACGAGGTAGTCATTAGCGGCCGCAAGGCCGGGGCCTATTATGACACTTGCTCGACTAGGAACTTCATTAGTCGCGCGTGCGTTGAGAGGTTGCGCTTACAGGGGCGAGTGCAACGCCTGAGTCGACCTGTGGAGTCGAGCTGTGCCAACAAACAACGCATGGTAGTCAATGACTACCTCCAGGATGTTGAGTGTTGTTTCCCGTACGAGGGAGGGGAATTGAGACATCGCGTCTCGTTCCTAGTGAGCTATGATCTCCCTATGGATATCTTGTTAGGTATGTACTACCTCTCCGTGGCACAGCCCTAGTTTGACTGGGACCGAAAAGTGGTCAAACACACTTCGCCAGGTGGAGGGACCGCCAGATTACGTAAGTTCAAAGCTAGTAGTTTGATTGAGTTCCACGGATGCATGTGTGCGGCCACGTCTATAATTATTATAAGCAAAATCCGGAGGAGGGTATGTATCTAGTCTATGTCTCTGCAGCAGGCGAGCCGGTGAAAATGTCGCCGGAGATAGAGGGAGTAGTTGCCAAGTACCCTGATCTATTTGAAGAGCCTACAGGGGTTGTTGAGAGGGAGGTCGTCCACGCAATAGAGATTATCCCAGGGTCTAGCATCCCAAAGGGTAGGATCTATCGGATGTCTCCAGGCGAGCTTGATGAGCTTCGAAGACAACTCAAGGAACTCGTAGAAAAGGGTTGGATCCGGCCGAGTGTTTCTCCTTATGGGTCTCCGGTCCTATTCGTACCGAAGGAGGAGGGAACACTTAGGATGTGCATTGACTATAGGGGCCTCCATGTGATCATTGTCAAGAACAGAGAGCCCCTACCGCGCATCGACGATTTGCTATATAGAGTGCAAGGGTGTCGGTACTTCAGTAAGATAGATCTGAAGTTCGGGTACCATCAAATTGCAATCCGGCCCGAGGATCAACACAAAACCGCATTTCAGACCAGGTACGATCTGTACAAATTTGTGGTGATGCCTTTTGGCCTTTGCAATGCTCCTGACACCTTTCATCACGCTATGAATCGGATATTTCATGATTACTTGGATAAGTTTGTCATCGTGTACCTCGATGACATACTTATTTTTAGTAAGACTGTCGAGGAGCACGTTGCACACTTGGACAAAGTCCTTAGTCTTCTTCGACAACACAAGTTCAAGATCAACGGTGAGAAGTTCGAGTTTGGCTGCACCCGTGTCTTGTACTTGGGTCATGAGATTTCCGCGGAGGGATTGAAGCCCGATTACGTGAAGGTGGCCAGCATTCGTGACCGGCCGCATCCTCAGTCTGTGACTGAGATGAGGTCCTTCATAGGGATGACAAGCTTCTACCGCAATTTGGTTTAGAATTATAGCATAGTGGCCGCCCCTTTGACGGACCTGACTCGCCTTGACACCCCATGGGAGTGGCTGACAGGTGTGAGGCTGCTTTCAGACAACTGAAGCATGCGTTGACATACCATGAGGTCTTGAAACTTCTTGATCCTGACAAAGCTTTCTTAGTAACTACGGATGCTAGCCAATATGGCATAGGCGTCGTACTTGCGCAACAGGAGGAGAAGAAGTTGAGGACGGTGTCGAGCGCACCCGTCCCGCACGGGGAACCTCCCGGCCGCTTCACTCAGGATTTTGCAGGACTTGTCATGGAGAGCGTTTGCCGCTTCGGCCGAGTGCGCCAGCCGTACCTCTCGCGAGCCCCTACGACATGACAAGGTCACGCGAGGCACCGCTTACCTCCACCTGCTGATCTTGTCCTGTTGTTACCTGAGGCAGATCAGACTCTCCTCGTGGCCGAAGGTACTCATCATGCAACTGAGCGTGCCCTGGAGGTGGTCCTTGATCACCTGAGCCCCCTCCTCTCTGTGCTCGGCCAGTCGTTTGTCCTTCCCTCCTCTCAGGCCGAGTTGTATATCCCTTTCTTCTCTTCTCCTCCGCTCGTGTCTCATGGGGTGTATCCTGCCCCACCGCTCGTCCTTTTGTCCCTTCTGGCTCTCTTCTCTTCCTTTCCATTCCCCTTTTGTTGTCTGCTTGGCGCTCACTAGTATAGTAGTTCCTCAGCAAACGCTTGCAATCGCCCCAGTTAGTTGCTCGCTCCACTATAGTCCTGACAAAAGATCTGATGGCCTTTCTCACAAACTGGACAAATCCTCCAACCCTTATCTCTGACAAAATGTTTTGTTCATCTGCAAACAGATCATAAGCCCAAAAAAACTCTTCAAAGTTAGAGGAGTCGAAGCGAATTGGCAACCCATCTCTTCCCATAGGTGATGGGTGCAACCCTTCCATCTTCCTTTCAAACTCCTACCAAGTGAGCGACTCCCTGGTAAACCTTGCAATCGGCTCAGCCCACTCGCCACTGCCTCATACCTCAGCCAACATCCTGGTCACTCCCCAACCATGCTCATAGGCATGAGCCTCAAACCTGGCCAAAAACATCTCTACACTCCCTCCATCAAAAATAAGAGGCCTGCCCTCTCTGATGGTCCTCTGCTGCCCCCCTTTCTAGTCCTCAACAGAACTTCCATCGGCCCTGCCCCGCCCCTCCCTCTTGGCATGGCTGCCAAGGGTATCAAGCTTGCACAACAAGGAAGAGACAACAAGGACACAGGGGGTAACCATGTCAGGCAACCAGAGTAAGAGAGATATATAGCCCTCCCATAACTACCTAAGTACCTATATAGATATACATGTACATAGCTTTATCCTAATTCAATCAAACCATTCTACGTTTTTTCTATCTGCTATACTAAGGTATTCCCCTCACAGCTTGAAAATCACATGGCTTGCTGGTTTTGTGCTCACCTCGTCCCGAGCCACAAAACTTCTTCAATCTGGAGCCGGATACCTTGTACTTCCACGTTGTTCCATTCATCTCTTCGATCTGGTATGCCCCGTGCTCGTCGCACCTCGCGATTCTGTATGGCCCTAACCACCGTTTGTCCAATTTCCTCGACCACTGCTTCTCTAGAGATGAATCGTACAGCAATACGGTATCTCCCATCTTAAGAGGCTCCTTCCTTACTCATGCCAACTGATCCCACCTGAACTTGTCCTTGGTTCGATTGTCAGCTACCCTACTCGCCGCTTCCTGTACCCTATCCTCTATGGCTCCAATCTGACGTGCCCTTAGATCCAACAACTCCTCAAAAGACAAAGTCGTTTCAAGGTCGTGTCGTCTCCAAGTCTTTAGGAAACTTTCTATAGGGAACGTCGCATGTCTGCCGTACCATAATGTAGTCGACGCGTAGTTGGTATTTCTCCTGACACCACGAAGAAAGTAACTCTTAGGAAATTCAGCCATTGATTTGGCCTGCCATCTGTCCATTTTGCAAGGAGGTTTGTAATGGTACTGTGTCCTCTTTCCACTGGTGCGTTAGCCTGAGGGTGTGCCGCAGTCGTATACTCGGCAATCACACCATATCCCCTCAGTAGTGTCTTTACTTCTGCACAAGTGAATTCAGACCCCCTGTCCATTACAAATCTTAAGACGAAAGGATAGCGAAGGTAATATTCTTCAATGCATCGAGCCAATACCTCTCCAGTCTTTGTGCGAATACCCTTTCCATCCACAAACCCTGAGAGATTGTCTCGTGCATCGAAGATATAATTGAGCTCGCCTATGCCCAGAGGCATCGCCAACAGGTCCAGATGGACAACTGCTCCAACCTCACGTATATATCTTGGGTGAAGTGGTTCCCTAGGTCTAAGGGGAGACCGCTCCTGACATGGTACACAAGATTTACAATACTTATCGATCATGTATCCCATGCCATCCCAATAATATAATTCGTGAATTTTCAAGTATGTCGCATCCAGACTCCTATGGCCCCCCGTCGTGCCATCATGAAGGGCTGCCATAACGTCAATCTGTCGATTTATGCCACAGACCACCCTTCTGGGATTCCTCCCTTTATTCCTCGTGAACAGATCTCTCACCAAAAAATTTGGCCGCATCTTGAGGACTTTTTCGTTGGCATCTCTTTCCCTCATTTCACATGAAAGGAGCATTCCTAGTATACTCCGTCATACTCTTCCGAGCAAAAAGCCTCCTTTACCTTTCCTTCGTGGACCACATTCTCTTCCTTATTTTGCGTTTCTCCTTCAATCCTAGCGACCTCATCTTGAAGTAGCGAGTTTGCCAGAAGGTGCATGCCACCTATCAGTCGCTCATGCTTTTCTACCTGCTGGGGTCCATTCCCCATTGTGACCAGATCTTCTTGCAGCTGGTACTTATCCGCCAAAGCTAAATCCATCATCCAATCTACTCCTGGCATTCCCCAAGAATCCTCAACATAAGGCTTGAGGACTATGTCCGGCCGTCGTACATGACCTGGAGGTGCAAGCCATATAGGTCGTCCAAGAGTAACATGCTCACCCACAGATAACGGCCAATAGTTAATATGTAGTCTTACATCCTCCTCCTCGTCCAGAAAACCATCGACTGGCGGAGTATTTTCGACTGCCCCTTTATTGCCTTTATCCCAGTCGACGCGACTTAACCCATCTGCCCTATTATTGTTCCCAGGAATGCGCTCCAACTCGAAATCAAACATCCAGATGTACGTCAACCATCTGGCAATGGTTGGATCCGGTGAAGCGAAATTATTAAGTGGGCCAGCCAGGGCGGTTGGGTCAACTCTGAACACGAACCGCCTGCCAAAGAGGTAATTCCTGAAAATTCTCAAGCAATGAAGAACTGTCAAAGTCTTGCGCTTAAACTGGGAGTAATTTCTCTCAGTTGTGTTAAGCGTCTGACTTTCGAACCTCAAAGGAAGTTTTTTCCCCTCACAATCTTTCTGAATCAATACACCTCCCAAGGCAGTTGGCCCTGCGCCAGTTTCCACAATAAAAGGCCTTGTTAGTGTGGTGGCATGATCAGGCACCCCTCAAATTCCTTCTTCAGGCCTTTAATCACTAATTCCTGTTTGTCTCCCCATCCCCAGTCTTGACCTTGGCGCACGAGCTTTCTCAATTGCTCTGTCTTTGCCGCAAACCCTTCAATGAACACTCTCCAAAACCCACACGTTCCTAGGAAGCTCCTTACTTCCGTGATTGTCTCAAATGGTGTTGGTCATTCGAGAATCTTGTTAATCTTCTTAGTGTCTGGCCGACGACCCCCCTCGTCACACACAAACCCTAAGATTGTTGTTCCACGCATACAATGCCTGGACTTCGCTCCACTCGCAGTGAGGTTATGCTCTTTTAGCAAGTCTAGGACCTTGCATAAATCTTGCACATGATCCAAGACGAATCGTCTAATCCTTGGCTTTACCTCTTGCTTATCCTTCTCTTTTGACCCTTTTACAGCCAGATCATCAATGTAAGGTTGCGTAATATGGGGACTTACCGGCTGCATTGCTCTCACTATATGCCTTTGGACCATTGCGCCCACATTCGTCCACCTTGCGGTGCAACATTCATGTGAATCAGACCCCGAGGAGTGTGCATCGCCATCATAGGTCTGTCCGATGGGTAAACAGGAAAGTGGTCGTAACCAGAATATAGATCTATAAGTGAAATTATAGATCGCCCTGCGCAAGCTTCCGAAAATGCATCAGCATTCGACAGACCACCTGCATCCCTTACAGTCACAACATTTAATCGCTGTAAATCCTGTACCTAAAGTCCCATTGGGTTTGACAAAACAAAACCAAGGGGAGGCATACGGTCCACTCAAGTAATTTGACACATGAGTGCGGATCTTCCCATCGAGGTAGTTGACCACCTTCTCCTCATCAGCCGGATTGGGATATCGCGCACCTCGCAAATTCCATGGTTCATGTGGCACGGTGTGTATCCGAATCATCGGAATTTTATCAACGTCAAGCCGGCCACGCTCATCGTCATTAAAGGCATAGGCAGTATGTCGCCCTCTTATGGTCTTTACCACTAACTGTCTTTCCTGCGCTGTAAGGAAATTTGACTCTCCTATTATCAGCGCCCCTTTCGTTTCCTGATTGATACGACACGGTCCGTTTTCTGCATTCTCACGCATTTGTCGTATCAACTCTCGTTCCCTCTCGTAATAAACTTCTTGTTCCTCAGTCACGAGCAGAGGAATAGGGCGACACTTCTGATCTACCCTTTTGTACCGCCTTTGTGATCCTTGCTTGAGCCTACCCCTAAAAAAGGTCGAGTTGCGCTCTGGGGTTGGGCTCCTGCCGATCCTCTTATCCTTCCAGACGTTCGATATACCAACACCACCTCTCCTTCTCCCATTTGTTCCACCACCTTCTCTCTCAGGGCCTCTACAGCCTTCGGGTCTGCCATCCCATAGGTCGACACTATGTCCATAGCATCGCCTATACTAGCCAGGCTAAGAATCAGTGCTTCAGGCTTCCTCTCCTCTTCAATTTCGCCGCCCTCTAGCCTCTTCCTTTCCTCTTTTGACTCTTCAATCGTGAAAGAGCCAGGGTTGGGCCGGTTCCTTGTACTTCTAGGCCCCGTGTTCTTACACGTGACAATCTCATAATTGCCACACATCGGGTCACACAAGACGAGGATCATGGTTTCGTCATGCTTATTAAGTATGATGGTCTCTGCTCGACTTAAGAAGGATCGACCCAACAAGATGGGGTGATCGAGATCAGGCATTATAAGGAAACAACTTCTCACCTTCACCTTCCCGATCTCCAAAATCACCCCCGATGCAGTCCCCACAAATACCGATTGACTATTCGCTCCCATCAGGACTCCGTTGTCGGAGCGATCTATTTCCATTCCCAAGCGCGAAGCATGCTCCTCCTTTATGAGGTTCATCTCCGCGCCACTGTCCACCATTGTCGTGCATGCTTTCCCTTTTACTACTACATCCAGACACCCACATGCAACAGACTTCCAATCCATCTTCGTGTCAGTTTTTGCCCATTCTGCTTCCTTGGGGATTATGGCCCCCAATCGCACACTAGCCACCATCTTTCTGGACAATCGAGCTTTGAGCTCGTCTCGGAGCCTTGGGGCTGAAGCCAATACATCCTTCAGGTTCATAAGGTGATTATGACCCTCAAGGATTCTATCCATCATCTCCTCCACGTCATAACCTTCTTCTACCCGGACAGTGTACTTTCTTTTCTTCCCTTCCGGAACTTTGTCTGTGTCTGCCTTAACATCCCTCTTTTTCGCTCTTAGCTCAGCTCTTTTATCTTATTCTCTCCTTAACCTCTCATCTCTTTCATCCTTTTCCTCTGGGATGTCCACTGTCTCTTTTTCCCCATTAGGCTCAGGAACGTCCTTTGCCGGCTCATCGGAGCTTACCGGCCTCTTGGCCCTTGTCCTGACTGCTTGTGGTGCCCTTCCTAACCTTGATGGTGACCTATAAGCCATTTTGGATCGAGGCGTCGGCCCCGAAACCATTACGCCTGGCAAGTTCCCTGACCCTCCTTGCGATCCTAGACCCATATCGTAGAGATACACTAGCAGCTTTTGACCTTTCCACTCCTTGACCTCCTCACACATACTGGTCAATTTATCTTGATATCTTCCTATTTTCGCCACTAGATCCTCCATTTTTTCCATCGTTCTTCGTGCCTCATTTCAGTAACCTTCCTCTATCTCATCGTCGGATTCCACCACAATTGGCTCTTCGCTGACGGTACCGACTTTCCTTTCCTGCTCTACCTCCCCATTCTCTCCTACCTCTTCTACCCTTACATCAGGACGGGCCTCCTCCTCTTGCCAAATCCGAAACATAGTCGGAGGAGCGGGTGGCATGCCGGCCTCGACTCGTCGCAAGGCCTCCTTCCTCGTTCCTCCAGGGGTCTTAGGGTCAATGTAGTACCCAAACTTGTCATACATATCACCATCGTAGTTGGTACTGATCAACCCTTCATCTTCATCATTCCTTCGGACATGGCAGAACTTGATGGTGTGACCTTTCTGCCCACAATGCCAGCAAATGGCATTCCTCCAATCTATCTGTTCTGTACCAAATCCTCGTTCACCTTCTTGACTACCCTGACTTCCTAGCGCGTTCCAGTCCTCATTTCCTCCCCCGCTGGAACCACCTCCATTTCCTCTCCCGTTTCCTCCGCGGCCTCCATTTCCTCGCCCTCGGCCCCATCCTTGATTATGTACACGTCCGCCGCCTTGGTTTCCCTGCGACCCTTGTGGCGTCGATTGTTGAGGTTGGCTTGGTTACGGGCTCGGGTGGTTTACTTGTTGAGATTGGGGCCCTGGACATCCGCAGGAAGCCATACTTAACGGAGCTCCTGCACATGATCCATGTGGTCCACTTACCGGCCATGGTGCGTACGGATTGTACCCAGGTTAAGGACTTGGGGGTCCATAGCCTGGCCACGGCCCATAGGGTGCTGGGGCGGCCTGACCATGCGACTCAGGGGGTGGTAGTGTCGTTGCTTGTGGGTTTTGACGCTTTCCTGAGCCTTGACCCCCCTTGAGTCAAATTCTTTGCCTTCCTCTGAGCCTTTGGTAGCTTTGGAGGTTCAGGCTCATCTTCTTCTTCTTCTTCCTCTTGCACTACTGTTTTCTTTGCCTTTCCTTGGACCTGTGTTACCACCATAGCCTTTTTTGCTGCATTTGCCTCCTTTGCCGCATCGAGTTGGGCTACCGCATCCTCTACCATTTTCTTAAAGTCGCGCCCGTCACTCGTCGTGGCATCCAAGGCCTTTCTCTTCTTCCTGGCTTGCCGCATTTGGAAGATGTCCACTTGGTCCAACTCCCCGTGCGTCACACTTTCCTTTGTCGCGGCCCACGTCAGTTTCTTCCCTGGCGCACCCTTCTTGGTTCGCACAGAGACCTCCCAATTCGTGAAGTGCCCTAGGAAGGTTGCGCACTGCTCCTCTTCCGCCATCCCAGGGACCTTCCTTGCCATCTTCTCAAAGGTCGTCGCAAAAGCACCCACAGTAGTGAACTCTTCTTGCTGTGACATTTCCAAGTCTGCCTTTGTTAGCAGACCATCCCCCAGCTTAAAGCGCCTTTGCATCTCTTCCTTGAAACTGGCCCAAACTCCTGCTGCCCCGGCAGCCACCTTCATTATCTCGGGCCGTATTTCCCACCAGACGTATCTCGGCAGCAACTTGAACTTGTCTGCCTCAGATGCCTCGCTCGTAACTTGTTCAAACATTTCTAATCACTCAGACACCCTTTCCCCTTTAAACAGGAAGATGTCAATTTTTGGCACTTGTAGCCGCGCCAATTCTCTTTTCTCGATGGCTTTGACAAAGTCTTCCGGTGACTGTGTCCGGCATCTCTATATCCTTTTGTTAATCAACCTGTTAGGAATAAGAGAGAGAGCCCATCAAATAGCTTGTCAAATTCCAAGGGACTTATCCTAAGTCATAACTAAACGTTCCACCTCTAAGTTCATCTGACCACTCTTCTACTAATTATCCAAAGTCATAGATACAATCTTCCTCATACTCATAATCACGTACTCTTACTGTATATATTATCGCCAGTATCACAACTTCCATACCATAGACGCCTCTCTTATATAAGACAATCCAAAACATAGGGTTTTGTCGTTTTGCCTGCATCATCAACCTGCACTTAACCTGGGTTCATTCACTAAGGACCCCACTAGGCAGCCGAGATCCCCAACTACGGCGCTACCTGTCGAGCGCATCGGTCCCGCACGGGGATCCCTCCCGGCCGCGTCACGTAGGATTTTGCAGGACTGGTTGCGGAGAGCGTTTGCCGCTCCGGCCGAGTGCACCAGCCGTACCTCTCGCGAGCCCCTACAACAGGACAGGGTCACGCGAGGCACCGCTGTCGAGCGCATTGGTCCGGCACCGCACGGGGCAGCGTGGGACCCTCCCGGCCGCGCCACGCAGGAGTCGGTCTAAATTCTTGTCGCAAATATACATGGAGCTTCCGCAAGCCGCTCCGGTCGAGTGCCCCAGCCATACCTCTCGCGAGCCCCTACGACAGGATAGGGCTTACGTGAGGCACGACTTACCTTCACCTTACGGGAGCTGTCACCTCCCTTCGGTGGGCATATCTCCGCCGAGCTACCAGTCCACAGTACGAAAGCTAAGCAGCTGCAATCGCAGAGGTGGTGGACCAACCGAGGACGTTTCTCGTTCGCTGTAGCATAGGGGGTACGCGCGGTATTACGCCTTTATCGGACCCGTACGTGAACCGACATCTTGGGGGGCTGAGGTCCAAAGCGCGACTCGTCGCCGGTCGACTAGGACGCATCCCACGCACCACGCATACACCACTCAGATGGAACGTAGAAAAATTAAACACACACACACACACATACACATACACATACACGAAACGACACAGAACAAACGACGCGACCACGCTCCTAGTCCCTCGGTAGCCATCCCATAACTTTCCGATGCAGAAATCAGATAGGCGTCGCTCGCGAGACTTAGTATAAAATCGCGAGGACGCAGAGCCCACTCATATCGACTAGCAATGCAGTCATACGCAAGCAGTCGCAATGATGGCGTACTATGTAGTGCCCATAATGAAGCGGTCCCTCGTGGATCCGAGTACCGCTTATGACACTCAACTGTTAGACTCGAAGTATCGTGATGGTCTAATCCCTCATGATATTGCACGACTGAAGGAATAGTCGTGCGGCCGCTGCGAGACCTCCGGCCTTTGGCCTGAGTGTCTCGACAGGCAGGGCAAATAGGCTCTGCCCGCGGGGGGATTTCTTCCCTGCAGAGTCTAGGACCTGGGACGTCCTAGACAAGGACCTCGAATCCCGGCCCAGGACCAACGCCGACAAGGAAATCATTAAAAAGTATACAATCAATAAAGGGGTTTTCCTTATTTTCTCCTTATTTTCTCAATCTCAACTCCTAATTGAGTCCTTGATACGCGGGTCCCTCAAATATACACACACACACATATATATATATGTATATATATATGCCTACGGTTTACCGGGCAGTTCTGTTTGTGACGATATATGATTCCCTTATCTCCCTTTATAGATAAGGGAATCACAGTGGGACTCCTCACAGCCATATGTATATGTATGATCGCAGGCAGTCAAATCCAAAATCCGAACCACAGAACGTAACTGCAATCACATCAAAGAGTCAAACAAGAGTCCACGCACTACACGAAGTCAACTTCAACCACCCCCTACACTCACACCCCTCGCTTTAGCCATGCAAGCCCCAACCTCTGTCCAACCAACTATAATTAAATTCTCAGTACCTTTGTTAAATGGCCATTTAATAAAAGTCCGGGTGAAACCTTAATAAAACAATAAAATCACCAGGGCTAAAGCCTTTTAGGTCGAGTATTGAGGGTGAATTGGAGTTGAGTCGTAAACCGACGAATCGACAACCGACCTGTTATCAGTGATAACAGAGGATGATCCTTGTAGGACCAAACTGAATAGCCCAAATCTTGAATCAAGCGATCAAGAGGACCTGTAACACAAGGCAGGCCAATCCCCATGCTAACCCATAAGTCCAAATCGAGAGTAATCTCTATATCACGATTTCACCAAGAATTATTCTACTTAACTAATCATGAGTCTACCCCTAAGTCAGTGCCTAATAAAAAGGTAGATCTTTGGCAGAATCTCCTCTATACAGAGGGGATTGCCAGAATTGTCACCTGTCAAGATATAATCTAGCTCCTCTAAACTAAAAAAATTTCGGCAGCGCTTCCCGTAGGAAAAGTGCCTTCTCATAATTTATAATAATTCAAATATGAAAACAAAACGATTTTTAAATTTGGAAAGTCAAAATTTGTCTAACTCCCTGAATTAGTAAAAATTTGGGCAGCACTTCCTTTAGAAAGGTAGACTTCCCAGATTTATACTAAGTCATATATGAACTCATAAATAAGACTTGAGTTCAGGTAAGACAAAATTTAACGAACTTCTTAGATTTGTAGAAATTTTGGCAGCGCTTCCCGTAAAGAAAGTGTTATTCCAAGATTTATAAAAAGCTAAGTTCATAATCCAAAATGATTTTTGACTTCCCAAGGTCTAATTTTGTCTAACTCTCTGAATTAGTAAAACTTTGGGGCAGCACCCCTTTTAGAAAAGGAGTTCTTCCAGATTTTTACTAAGCCAAAAAAAAATGACCTAAGTAAAATAACTTAGCTCAGAAAATGCAGGAATTGAAACTAACTTTTATGGCTTCAGCACGTGGCGAGCAACTAAAGCAACTACCTATCAACTGAAACACAGACTAAGTAGTAGTCTCACTCAGTCTCATGCAGGCCAAACCACAGAAGTAAGTACTCTTACCTCCCCAAAGTCAACTTATCAAACAATAGTTCATAGTCTCACACTGATTTATCCCTTTATACCCAGCTTACATAGCGCATAAAGCTAGACCACCCAAACTTATGGAACATGTCTAGCTCAGCCATGGAGTATACGCAAACACAGGACACAACAACTTTTCTCTTATTTTAGCATATGACTAGGCCACCCTAGTCGCCCTTAGCTGTTTAAATATCCCCAACTTTATATACTTGTCTGCACTTAGTCTTTTGAGATAGCATATAACTAAACCGATCATCTTCAGCTCAAGATTCAGTCTGCCCCTTCGTACCACAATTTTATTCTTAATTAGTACTTTTCTCAGTTGGTGATAAGATATAGTCAGACCACCCAAACTTATGGAACCCTGTCTGACCAGCCTGTTCATAAGTAATATAATAATAAAATATAGCCAAATTATAACCTTCTGGTTCCAGCATGTACGAGGTGTTGGACCAAGACCACCCAAACTTATGGAACATGTCTTGGTCCTGAGCCTGGTTCATTTTCTCCCAAAGCCAAAGCAGGAAGAGGCTAAGCCACCCATCTTATGGAACATGCTCAGACCTCCTCGTTCAGAGACTAAAGAAACCGAAAAAAAAACAAAGTAAACAAGGCGACCAAGCCACCCAAACTTATGGAACATGTCTGGCTCTCCAGGCAATCCAAAATAAAGATAGCACTGGCCTTCCCAAACTTATGGAACTGGCTCAACCTTTGGTTGACCCGGTCAGACACATGCAATACTGCCTTTCCCCCATCCTCCCCCCCAGATGCAATCCCACAATTTGCTTTCAGTCAAATAATAAAACTGAAACTGACATTGTATATACATCCTTAGTCTGGTTATGTCCTGAAAGTCAAACTGAAAATCAAAGTAGGCGTGCATGCAACATATTCAGTCAAAACATAGCAAGGGGTGCAGTTAAGGGTTATAACTGGGCTTATAGAGGGAAAGCAATGATTACCTCTCGGTTCCCTGCCTCCTGAACTCCTCCTGAGCTCCGGCAGAGCTCCCGCAATCGGTGGGCTGACTCCCCACAGAGTCTTGTTGCGGTCCTACGGGTTGCAATCCGCCTGCCGCCTTCTTCTCAGAACTTGGATTATACTTAGATGAAGAAGGACAAAATGAGGGGTTTGAGACTCTCAAGATACAAGAGGGGGACAACTCAAATCTCAGGAGAGGGCCTTGTGATCTTGAATCGCCCGAGGGCCTCGCAATGATGGCCAGGTACGCAGCCGCCAGTCAAACGGAAGTCAACTGTTGACGCAACCCCTCCTAATGACGTCCCAAATCGCAGTACTGCAGCAGCGAGGTCCAACTAGCCCTACAACGGATATGGTGTCCACAGGCACCGGCTATGCAGCCCCCACCAAGCTCTGGTCAGTATCCGACCCACGGCGAAGCTCACACTACTTCGATTCGCAGTGTGGGCAGTGTACTGGCCAACAGATACGTCTTTAATCTTGCCCTTCGCCCCTTGCTTCTCCATGCGGCAAAAATGAGCAGCCCTCCGACCAGCGAGTAACCGTTCACTTTCGTGGCCAGCCTTACTCCCTACAGACACCAATCATAATCCAACGCACCACAAGCTGTTCACCACGATAGTACCCCACCTATATAACTCTAATCAGCTGCATTTGGACAAAGCCTGTCGCTAATGCCCAACAACAACAACAAACAAAAAAAAACAAAAGCACAACAGGTTCCGAGTGCCAGCACACAACAAGAGAGCTGACAGCAAACAGCGAAGCCCAGCTGCTCAGTGGCCAATGAACTTGGTGAGCACAACCAGCAACAAGGTCCGACTGTTCCTACTTTGTTAACCACGACGTACAATGCACTTGGCCAGC